CTATACTCTGGTAAATTTGGAAACCTAGAGGAAATGGACAAATTCCTAGAAATCTCAACCCAGATTAAAATTGTCATGTATAGAACTGTAGAACAGACCTATCACAAAAGACTAAACTGAGCATGTCATAAAAATATTACCCCCTTAAAAAACAATCCTATCTGGCATTTCTTCACAACTGAATTCTACCAAACATTTAGAGACCAACAGCCACCAATTCTACTTAAATTATTTTAAAAAAAAATAGTAAGAGAAGTAACATTCCCAGAGTCCTTCTTTGAAGCAAGTTAGCATGAATCTAATACCAAATTCAGGCAAAGACATTACAAAAAAATCAAAAACAAAAGCAAAGAAAAACAAAACCCCAAAACGACAAAACACCACCCTATAGACCAATATATTTCATGGATATAGATGAAAAAACTCCTTAACAAAGCCTTTACCAGTAGAATACAACAGGATATCAAAACAATAATTAATCATGAACAAGTAGAATTCCTAATGGTTATGCAGTGATGGTTCAGCATAAGAACAACAATCAATGTAATTCATCACATTAGCCTAGAATAAAAAAAACACTGACAGACATTCTTCTGGTACTCTCTGCTTTCTGACAAGGTCCATCTGACACTGGCAATAATGTCGCTAGTGCCATACCTCTTCTATACTCAGCTTTTCATTCTGGTAGTTCTCTGTCAATATACTGTTCCATTCATTTCCGGATACTCTTCAGCAGGGTTTTGGTAGTGTGTGATATTAGTGATAGTGTTCAGTAATTTCTACACTGTCAGGTCAGCTTTTTTTTTTCTTTTTTCTTCAATGAGAATAAATATGGATCTCTTCCAGTCAGTAGGCCAAGAAATTGTCCCCCAGATTTCTTGTCACAACTTGGTGAGCATATATATCCAGGGCAACAACTGTTTGTTGAAATATATCTATTGGTATTCCATCAATTCCTGGGGCTTTATTTTTTGCCAAGTCTTTCAGAGGAGCCTGAACTTCCTCCTTCATCAGCTTTGCCTCTTGATTGTATATTGGTTCTTGAAATTCTTCTTGTCAGCCAATTCTTTTTGCTACAATGACTCTGTATACTCCTTCCATCTTTTAACGCTCCCTGAATCTTTCAGTATTCTGCCCATACCATCCTTAAGCATTGCAACTCAAAGCTTGATTTTATTTAGCTCCTTTAGTTTAAGAATATATATGGATTATAATCACGACTTTCTAGTGAATCTAATAATGAATAAGAAATAAAAGGACTACTTATCTTTTTTTTGTATGATGTGTATATGTGTTAAAAAGATACTGATTTCTTCTCTTCTTCCTCCTTCTTTTCCTTATTTTAACACTATGCTTTCTTTAATTATTGTAGAACAGATGCTATCACTTTATTGTTACTGTATGTCAAAGTCTTAATCTTTAAGTGTTCAAACAGAATGGGCACAAAATTATTTCTTGCAGAGTTTATTCTTTGAAACATGAACCTAAAAATAATATGAATGTGACCAAAATCAGTTGTTTGAAAGAAATTTATTATTTTTACCTCTTTTTTTCTCTTAGGGCCTGCTACCTACAGTCCTAGTTTAAGAAAATCTTGCTCCATTCCTTTATTTTTAAAAACAAAACGATTTGAAGATGTCCCGAAAGAGACTACTCCTGGTCCAACAACATATGAGGTTAGTCAATGATACTTCATTCTTTTCAATAATTCACGAATAGACTATTTCCAGAAAGTATTGAAAAAATATGTATGTATGTATATATATATATCCTCCCCATATTTTTAAAAAAATATTTATTTGTTGTTATGAGACTGAGTTCATTCATTCATCTGGAATGCTTTCCAGATTATTCCACGTTATAGAGTAGTTCACACATCATTGTTCCTTAGCAACTTAGTGGTAAGGAGTTGTACTGCCAACTCCTTTCATGTTTTTAAGTCATATTCTTTATTAAATTCTTTATTAAATAAAATCTTTTCCCTAAGGAAGGTATTTTTAAGAGAACTTCTTCCAGTTTTAGAATTCTTTATGAGTTATTAACTCGACAATTTATAAAATGTATAAATTGAAATCTCTGTATATAAATTGAAATCATGAGTTTGTTAGCACTTCCAGATAAAAAGCCCAGGTCTGTTCATATTAAATGTTCGTCTTCTAATATCTCCTTTTAAATGCTTTAGTCTACAGTCATAATGGATAATGGTCTCATTTAATTTGTGGACCTTTTAATAGTAAGAAGAAGATCTAAATTCTTTTTAAAGGTTGTAGATCTCTAGAGTTTTAGATTGTGTGTTACAATAGACATTCATGAATCTTTATACAATAATTTCTTCATTTGCACTCTCACTGGCTATTGAAAATGAAATATTTTGCAGTGATTCATAGAAATGATTATTAATTATAATTAATACTTAGTGAAAACCAAGATGAGAAAGAGATTGATGCAAAAAGTTCATAACTTATTAACTATGAATTGTTAGAGAGAATAAAGCAAGGTCTTGAAGCAAGTATTGATCAGTAAGCTATTTTTTCTAATAACGTAGATCTTCACAGTCTTCTTTTCTCAGAACAAGTATTTTTGAGACAAGTAACTGAGGTTTGGTAACCTGGTATCAGACTTGCTTGCTTGTTTTTGAGCTACAAATTAAAGCATTTGTTTTATCTCCACAATCTTTAGCTGTGTTTACAATTTCACAACTCAACCCAGGACACTACTGAAAATGGCTTATATGGTGATAATATTAATTTTTACCTGAAAATATTTTTTTTACTTTTTGAAACTGAATTTAGTAATATCTACAAATAATAAATGTCAAAAAGTCTATGTTTACCAATTTAATTTTGTGATAACTTCTTGAGAGGTGAGGGAAATGCATGGATATTCCTAACAACAAAAGACTGTATTCAATTTTTGGAGTTTTATTAAACCATGAACACTTACTCATAGATTTCAATCAAGTGAACTTTGAAGTAGGTTCTGAGGTTCATAAAAAAGGAACGTATTTAATTTTATCACATTATAGTTTGAACCATAGGAACTGGCATGTAGTAGTGTATCAACAATAAATGTTTGTTTAATAAATAAAGTGGGTAATGATTTTATGTTCTTCTCATAAAGCCTTAGTTTTATGTTGTTGTTGTTGTTGTTATGCCGTGACACATAGTGAACCTATGAACAACAGCTCTGAAACCTACCCTGTCCTCAGCCAGTTTCACTGACTTCGACTCACCTCCCATTTCCCTAGTTACTGTATCAGTCCATCTCACCCAGGGTCTTCCTTTCCTGCGCTGTCCCTACATCCTTCTGAGCATGTTGTGTCCTTCTCCAAGGATCTGTCTCTCATGGCCACATGCCCAAAGTGTGTGAATTGGATCTTTAAAATCCTAGCCTCCAAGGAGAAACTCCAAGACAGAACTATTTGATTTCTTTGTGGTCAATCGTATGTTCAAGATTCTTTTGCAGCACCACAACTCAAAGACATCGATTATTCTGCATTCCTTAGTTATTTTCCAGCTTTCTGATGCATAGCAAGTAATTGTGAAGACCATGCCCTGATCAGGTGCACCTTACTCTCTAAACCGACATTGTTGCTTTTAAGCACTCTGGAGAGGTCCCTGACAGCAGATTTAACTAATACTAGGAAAAATAGATATAAATGAAAATACACATGTCCATATACATGCACACATAAGATATTTTTGATTGATCTGCCCACTCTCTCTTATTGAGCAAGTCTAATGACTTAAAGTTTGTATTCTTAAAGTTTAGATATGATTTTATATTACTTTAATGGAGCTTATAGTTGACAGTTTTTATATGCAAATAACTTTGTCAGTATAACTTTCTGAAGAGAAAAAACGGCATGTATTCGAAATGTAGCATGAAAGAGGAAGAAACTTTTTTTTAAGCTACTGAGATTTGGGGATTATTTATCATTTCAACAGAGCTTATTTATTAAGATGTTAAAATAAGTTATATAGTTACACTTAAATGTGTTATTTAATACCCTTTATGTTTACAATGATAGTATTTTTTTTTAAATTCCTTGTTATTTGTGGTTTTGCATCTTTGTACAATTAGGTTTCACTTGTTGTGTGTTGTGGAGTTGGAATCAACTTATAGCTGACCCTCCAGCAGATTTTCAGAGGCGGTAAATTACAGGAGAAGAATGAGGCGATTTCTCATCCTTTTTTCATGAGGAAGCTGGTGGATTTGACCTGTGTGCCTTTGGGATTGTAGTCTAGATTTTTATCACTAGGCCATGAGGTTTAACTTAGCTTATATTAGGATTTTGTTTTCCCCTTTTTTCAAAGATTTAAATCTTGGAATATGAATCATTCCATTAATATAATGTAGTATAGTAGGTGTTTCAAAATTACTTTCTTTTTTATTTTCTTTAACACATAGTTGGATGGGACTATGATAATAATATGACTAAGACACACAGCACTTTTTAGATAAAAACATACAAACAAAGTATGTGGAGTACTAATGAAGAGATTGGCCAGTTTTGCCTTCTCATCAGGCTTAAATTGAGAAGGTTCAGGTACATAAAACAAAATCTTGGTACCATTAAGAAAGAACAAGATAGATTGTGATGACAGTGGGGAAGTAGCACCAGGAGAGGTGTTAAAAAAATGACAGATCAATCAGAGACAGCTGAATTGTACTTGCTGCACAAAGAAGCTAAGGCTGAGGGTTTTCACCATCCAGGCTTACTCTGGAGCCTGGAGATTCTATTCCGTATTTGGTAGGACTAAAAGAACTTTGTAATACTGATCCGAAAGGTCAAGGGCCTGTGAGCAGCAACCTGAGAAGCTTCATCTTGATTATTGTCTCTGCATTCTGTCTGACCTTTGCAACAGATTAGCAGACCCATTAGCAGAACAGTGAAAATCCTGGGAGAGACATTTGATGTTAGAATTGATAGAAATAGGTTCAAGGAATTGGAGGGTAAGTATGACCTAATAGGAAGTGGTGTTGTATTTTGGATGCTGCCATGTTGTAAATGTTTACTCTTTATACTTGTAGAGTTGATAGAGGACAGATGTCCCTGTATCCAAGCCTCCTGCACTGTTTTTACATGTATAGATTTAATATAAAGTTTAAGACCAAATGACATATATTTGAATATTAACATCACTATTGGTACTTTTCAGCTTGTAAATGGCTTTTAAGTTGTTTGTGATATTTTCCATTTTTATTTACTAAAATTTATCCTTTTTCTTCAGTTTCCCCCCCTTTTTGCTATGCTTAGCCAGTCTTTCTACACATCATAAGTAGTTCTTTTAAATTACTTTATATTTTCTTCTGATTTTCATTTTTTTCTTTTCATTAGTACAATTTCTCCCTTTTTATATTGCTAGTTTGTGGGTTTGGGTTTGTTTTTCATTTCTTTTCAAATAAATAATTTACATAAGGGCAGAAATATGGTTTATTTCTTCTGACCTAAAAACATATATTTTGGTCTCATTCCTATTTTCCTCTTTAGCAAACAAATAACAACAAAAACAAAATAATACCATCTCCTCCAAACCCTGATGACCAAGTGATAAAAAACTGCACTACTAAAAAAAAAAAAAAGGAAGAAAGAAAGAAACAGGTAGTTCAAATCCATAACAGGTAGTTCAAATCCTGCTCTCTGGGAGAAGGAAGGTCAATCTATTCCGCTATAATTTAATGCTTCTGAAAACCTTCTAGAGGGCCAACTAAGAGTCAGTTCTAATTTGATGGCACCGTAAGAACAACAACAACAATCAGCAGCAAAAACTGCCCAACATTCACTTTTTCCATTTCCCTCTTACCATTGTCTCTTAATCTTGGTCAATTTTACTTCATTTCAACCACATGAAGGAAATAACTTGTTAAACTCACCAATAACCTTTCCCCTGCGGAAAATAGGTTGCATTTATTTTCAAGTCCTGTGGTAAATACTATCATGCTTCTCTTCACCTGACATGACTTAGTAACCACATTTTATATAATTAATTCTTTCTTGGATACATTTTCTATATCCCACTTGGGCTACAGAACAAGTATTCTCACTGACTACACTTCCTCAGTTCACTTTGCACATCTCCTAATAATGTCTATGTGCATGAGGTAAAATTTCTGACTTTTACATTTTTTTTAATTATTTCATTGTTCATCCCTATCTATGGTTTTAAATACTGGTGGCTCCCAAATATAAATGCCAAAAAATTCCTAAATTTATATTTCTATATAACTGTGTATTTCTGAATTAAGATATCTATATGAAATGTCCTTGTCTTTATCACCTCTTCATTTTCTTATTCCATATCTGCTTTACTCCTTATTTTCCCAAGTCCAAGAGACACCATTTGAACAATTGTTAAATTGAGAATCTTGACATTTTCCTCAATTTTTCCACTTCCCTCACAATACATAGTCCAGATAGACATACACTATTAGTCTATTTAGAAAATATTAATTAGATCACTACTACTGTTATGGTAGAGCCTTCAGATTGGAAGACACTCAGACAAGGGGAAAAATAGGTGCAAAAAATCCATACCTGCTTGGAACATGGAATCTATGATCTGTAGACCTAGAAAGATCCAAAATTGTAAAAAGAAATGGAATGCATAATGGTCAGCATTTCTAGTCATAAGAAAGCTGAAATAGACTCATCTTGGCCACTTTGGCAACTATA